CAGCATCATTTGGCTCCAAGCCCGAGTTTGCCTTCCTCCCTGAGGCATTTTTACGACTGCGGCTGAGCTCTTTGGCCATGCAGGACAGCAGGCAGGAGCTCTCAGCCCCACTGCTGATGAGAAACCCATATCCCGCAGCTGCTGGAGCTCCCACCCTTCCTCTCTGGCCACCTTTGGGGCACAGCACAGCTCTTGCCGGGAGGGGAAATCCTTCCCCTCGCCCACACCTCCCACGGGGCTCAGAGCTGGCCACGTCACCCTACATCCCTGCTGCAGCAAGAGGATTTGGGGTACCGGCTCCCAGAGCACCGCCTCCTTCTTCCCACATCCCAGTGGGGCTTGTTTTGTGCCTCCTCCGCTCTCCAACCCCAGCCCGGCACATTGTGTTCCATCACCAGTGCTTCACCCCAGCCTCTCCCTCAGACTCCGGTACTTCCAGCAAAATTCCTTTCTGGTCAGTCATTGCTGTCCCTCGGCCTCGACACCTCCGGGGCTGGTGGGGCTGGGCTTCCTCTTCCTGAGTCGCCCCAGCCATGCTCCTGGCCCCCTCCTTGCCTTCACCCCGTGCCATGGCATTGGCCCTTCCCTAGGGACATTAAGGGTCTGCCGGCCAAGCCCACATCAAGGTTGGGGTGCCCAGTGGTGCTGCCCAGCTTCCCTCACCCTGCCCAGGGGAGAGATGCCCCGTGCCATGCTGGCCCCCCCAGCCACAATGAGCTTTTGAGAGAGGATGATTTACAGCCCTGGTTAGTGCAGGGAGCGTGCAGGAGGTGGCTGTGGTGAATCGTGCGCTGCGCGGCAGCGGGGAGGAGCGGGAGACTGCAGGAAGGGGGCTCAGAGCCATGGAGGTGCGAGGACTCCTGAGAGCATCTTCTGCCCTGGTGGGCTGCCGTCGCTCCTCTTCGCCTCCCAGCATCCACCTCAACTTGGGTCTCACCCAGGCGTGCACCCTGCATCCCCCAGAGCTGGACCTCATCTCCCAGAGCTGGACCTCATGGGGACACCCACAGCGCCCAGCAGGGACATCTCTCCTGTGCACAGCCAGCACCAGTTTGCTCACACTCGCTGCACACACCAGTGCTGAGCCCCGGCACCACTCCCTCCCACCCCCTGGCACCCACCCACCTCAGCTTCCCACAGTGGCACCGCCTCTCCTTATTAATTAGAGGGTAAATGCTTTGCTTTTCCACAGTCCCCTTCACCTGTGGCTCTCTGAGGGTTGTGCAAATATTAATTACTGGTAATTAATTAAATCAGGTCTCACCATCCCCCTGTGGAGATGTTGTCTCATAAACATTCTGATGGCAAACATGACATCAGAGCAGGCTCTCGGGGCTGGGTGGGGGCTTCTAATTACCTGTTGCTAACGATGCAAACCCCACCTACAGCAGTTTCTACCTGAGTGACCTTCGTGGAGGGCTGATGGGCTGCGAGAGGGAGATAGGTGAGAAGCCAGCAGGGCCTGGTTGGATCCCAGTAAGTGGTGATGGGTGGATTTTTATAAATGCTCTTGGGGTCCTGTTCCTTGTAGCTTGTGCTGCTGGGTGTTTGCTCGTGTTTGCTGCTGGTGGGGAATGGGGCTGCGGTGCCTGGGTGGGAGCTGGGGGGTGGCCCAAGCAGCTGGCGGAGCTCACTTTGTGTCAGCTTGTCATCCCTGGGTGCTCTGGGAACAAAAGAGAGGGATTGCCCAGGGATGCACAGCAGGAACCTGCAGCTTGTTCACCATAGCATGGCTTGGAAGATATCTTGGGGAGGGTCCCTCTGCCCTCCTGGGGAGCGAAGAT